TTCTCTCCACTACCTGAGTAGTTCCTTCTGAAGTGGCAGCCCACCATTGAGTGTTTTCTCTGGTCCACTTCTCTCCACTGGTCAGTTTGGCATCACCTGCAAACATGACAAGGTCATAGCCTGACAAGTTGTTGAGGAAGACAGGTCCTGTGATAGATTTCCTGTGTTTATCCAGTCTTGTCCTAAACTGCTCTGGTTATTGTGGGACTGCAGTAAGTTCTCAATACTGAATTACAAGAACTGGTTAACTTACTGTGATAGATTGAGCATATGTACTAAAAAGGGATCTTAACACCTGTCTTCAGAAAGCTAATGGGAGTGTTCCCTGCAAGTCTGTCCAGTGTCAAACAAGCCTTCTGACAGCTGCAAAATTCATAATTCTGGACTAACTTCGTATTCAGTCCAATCTACTTTAGGAAACTTAGAAGTCTTATCAGACCTACCACACCTTGTTGCCAAAGAACTTTTCACTGTAGTTGGCAACTACTCCTCTGTCACTTGTATAGGGGATGTTGACCTTATGTCTCTTCCACTCTGCTAAGTTTTCTCACCCATGGGTGGTGGGTGGCTGTCCTTCAATACTTACTGCATCTGAGAAACAGTTGCAAGTCTGAAACTCTTGTCTTGTGAACTCTTACCAGTTAGCCTAATATAAGATTATAGTGCTTCCTGCAAACCATTTCTCTCTGTTTAGTTGGTATTACTGGACTCTAAATGAAATGTCTACAATGTCATTCTTGTTCTTAACTATGGATGCAGTCAGTATGCAAATTGGTTTAATTCATGGTGAGATACCAGTTTGGCAAGGCAGTAATTACATTATGATAATATTGCTAATTAGTTCATGAAGGAGATCTGAGTGAAGTATTTGATCATTGTCAGTGTGTATTGCATATCTTAAAATACTTATTTAAATGTATCAGAGGCTTTTCACCATGGCCACAAACATATCACTAGATAATGCAACTCAGTTTTTTCAACTTGAGTTCAGGTGGGCAGGTAGGGATGACTTTGCCTCACTTGCACAGTCTGAATCTTACCTATTGAATAGTGGAGAAAATACCCAACTTGGCTAAATGCTCTGTTATTCTGAGTAGTATTGAAGCAAAATAAATGTATAATTTGCCTAAAAACTGAGTTGTGCCCTGCCCTGTTGCATCTAATATTTCAACATGCTTCAGAAGAGAAGCAGCAATGCAAGCTTCTGATAACAGCAAGCAGCCAGACCCATAAATAAAGCAGTCAAGGGTGTAATCTAATCCCATGATTTACGCTGTTGCTCCACCTGCCAATGGCATGTTTCTTTGAAGGCTTGAATGACAGTGTAGTCAAAAAAGGTTTTTGAGTTTGCCTGCTAAAAGAAAAGTACTGCTCCCTGGTGTGAAGTTATCCTCAAAGTCCATCTATGTAAAGCAGCAAAAATTCATGTTAATTCAGTGCTGCCAGATATCTGGATAACGTCTGTTCTGTACTACATATCAGTGCATTAACTTGCCAGAACACAGATCTGGTGCACTAAGAAGTCTGTAGATAGTCTTCTGGAAACTAGAAATGCATTTGTGCTTACCATTAAAAGTTATATAATGCAGAGTAATCTGAAGATCTAGAATCTGTAGCAATTAGTAGCTACTTTCAATATTTGCAGACTGGGAATATTCTGCATGCTTATTGACATAAAGCAGATAAAAAGGAATGAAACAATGCCTGTATTGAGGCAGTATGGAATCTGTAAAAACCTAATACTTTTACAACATTTAATTAGCTAAGAGGACTTTGTACTCTATTGGTCTGCTATCCCATTGTTATGACTTTATGGTACTTCTGCACGTGTGTCATTGAACTGAGATGAACTCCACTTCAGGAGTTAATAAGATGATAATTCATGTTAGAAATAATATGGATCAGGAAAGTTTTAAGAAAATGGTGTTATAGTTCTTGGACACCTGCACTTGCAAGCAGAAGGGGAATGGGGATATACAGAAACAAATACCGCATAATATCATGTGGACTATAAATTACAATAAAAATCAACACTTGGTTGGATTTTAAAAAATAATGAAACATGAAAGTAGCTGTGCCACTGTCAGTTTCTGTACTCTTGTGTTTCAGATCGAATGCCATCCATACCTGACCCAGGAGAAGCTGATCAAGTACTGCCAATCCAAAGGGATCGCTGTGACTGCATACAGTCCCCTTGGCTCTCCTGACAGGCCATGGTAAGACTCACTGCCATTTTGCAAGGGAGCTGGCAGGGATTACACTTGAAGCACTGAGACTCCAAGTGCTCCATTAATCATTCATCAAGAGACAGATTCCTGTTGCTGGGTTGGCTCTTTCTATGGAGGTTTCTTGCCACTGGTCTTTCTTTCCTCTGTGTAGGGCTAAACCAGAGGATCCTTCCCTTCTGGATGACCCCAAGATAAAAGAGATTGCAGCCAAGCACAACAAAACTCCAGCACAGGTAGGTGGGTGCTGGACAGTGGGTACTGCTTCCTGTAACACAGAATTTGTTGTTCTTTAGAACAGCTAATGACAAACAATGTAAAATGAAGAGCTTGACTCCTCATTCACTGAGCTGTGGTGTTATATAGCAGTGCAGCTCGTTTATTGAATGGTCTGAAATGCTTTCTTGAAAGGGTTATTTGACTATCAAGAAGAAACATTTTCTTGACCTATCTTTAAATGTTTGTCTTCTCATCTTAAGCCAGTGCAGAGAAATGAACACTTGTGTAGACTACCTATGTTTAGGTAGGAAGGAAACAAACCTTGTATCATAAGACTGGAAGGGCTACCACAGGGCTCCACTGCTCTATTTGCACTTCAGAAGGCACTGCTGAGACTTTGGTACAGTTTGAAATGCAGTTCTGCTGTGAGTGGTTAGTTCTGCTGAATTGTACAGTTTACAGCTTCTACTTTATTACAGAACAAAAGCTGTTCTCTCTGACTCAGTGGTATGCTCTGACTTCTTTCTGACTCAGTGGTCTCTTCCTGCAGGTTCTCATTCGGTTCCACATCCAGAGAAATGTGGTTGTGATTCCTAAGTCCATCACCCCCCAGCGCATTGTGGAGAACTTCAAGGTGGGTGATTACAAGTGTCCAGGATGCAGGGATGGCATCCTTTCCCTCTGTGGAGCAAGTGTTCCTTTCTCAGCCTTCCAAAGTAATCCTCAGATGAGGACTAGAGCTTTTCTCACATTACCTATAATGAGGGCTAAGCTAAAGCTGAAACTGGAGACACAATGAACAGAGGCATCCTTTACAAATAATGTTGCAGAATGCCTCCATCCTCTAAATGCTCAAGAAGCTTCTTGGAACAGCTGGCATATAAAAGCCTCCAACTTCTGAACTTTCAAATGCTTCCTTCCCTCCTTCTCCCACTGCTAGTGGAGTCTTGGAAATCCAAAGGTGCTTTTTTCCTCTTCCTCCTCCTTGAAGCCACCACTTCTTCTCACTAGCACCCCTCCAATGTGGACTTGTGCTTTAATTCTATGAGTCTTGCTTAGTCTGATTTGTTCAAAGAGGTGATTTTCAGCTGTTTCTTGTTAGGTGTTTGACTTTGAGCTGACTAAAGAAGAGATGACAACCATTCTCAGCTTTAATAGAAACTGGAGAGCCTGTGCAATGAGCACGTAAGTGATATTTTTAACCTGATAAGTTGTCACAGTTTTGTGTACTAGACCTGTTTAAGGTTCAGGATACTCAAACTCAATTTCCAAAGAGTTCAACTTCAAAATTTTTTCACAGTAAAATTTCAGATGTTCATATCATGAACCAAACTACGATGATCATAAAGCAAACTTGATGTTCATCTTGAGTTCAGTCTGCAAGAAGGCTTTTGTAGCTGGAATTCTGAGAGAAGGATTCTTGTTCATAATCTTGTCTATATTGGAGATAGGAGTATGAGGCAGACTCAACTCATGATCAACTTTGCTTGCGGAATTTTATTTTATCTTTACTAACTTTTATGTATGTTATAAAAAAGGCACTATGATCTTAATGGGTTACTGGAGAAGTGGGTGAACGTTCAAGAAGTAATGTTGAGGGGATTAAGGATTTGGTTTATGGTGGTGGTAATCATCGTTGTGTGTTGTAAGTATAGCTAAGGAGTTACTTGTAAAACTGCTGTGTCGGGCTTGGTTTGCTCAAAAGAAGAAGGGGGAATTGTTGAGGGATTTCTTGAAACAGCAAAAATCCTATGGCTTGCTGTAGCTGAGCAAACCAAGCTACCAGGGCAACTATGAGAAGTTCCCATGACAGTGTTCCCACATCGCCCAATTGAGGAACTCAGAAAAATATTGTTACCAGTAGCTGGCTTCAAGGACAAGGTCTATGTGACTGCTAATCACAAGGGGGTTGTTTTCTTGCAGGTGGGGTTGTTTTCTTGCAGTTGTTTGTCTGAGTGCTCTTGACCAATAATCTTGTGTGAAACACTGTCCACCCCTGTTAAGTTCTCTATAAAAGTTAGGCTATTCGGGCAATAAAATGGAGCATGATCTGACTCTACTGTGTGTCTGTCGTGCTTTCGGCCGTGCTTCCTGCAACAGTCAGGCAGCAAAATGTAGCCTCCTTTCCACAAAATATGATTTTCAGAGCATACTTGGGAATTGTAAAAAAGAAAAGAAGGGAGAACAGCACAGCTTATGCATGCAGCTGGGAGACATGTCCTAGTTCCCAGGTCTGTCACTCATAGGAGTATGACAAGACTTTGACAGGGGTATGCAAGCAGCAGTCTCAGGGACAGAGATCAGGAGCCCAGCTCACATGGCCAGAGTAGCGCTGAGCACCCGAGCAGTACTGCTACATGGAACAGACACTCCCAGTGAGAGCAATTATTGGGCTGTAAAGCCATATAGGTCTTCAAAATTACCAGTCGTAAAAAAAAGCACCTTACTATTACTGTACCTTCAACCCAAAAGGCCAGTGCATGAGGTAGAGATCCAGGTAATCCAGTTTCAGGTCGGCAAGAGTCTTCTGGCAGGCTCCCTTCACCAGAGGTTTTTCAAAAACGTGCACCACAGCTGGAGACAAAAAGCCAAGGCACACCGTGAGCTGCTGGGTTAAAGCCCTCAGATGCCCTCCTGCACAAGAGAAAAGCACTCCTCCGTTGAGAGGCAATGTGGGGTTAAAGCAACCTATTGCTCTTCAGACAGGGCTTGCTCTATGAGCAGGACTGGACCATAACAGCGAGGGCAGCACATACAGTGGCACCACATGTAACTGAATAGGGTCACAGGTAAGGAAACCTCTGTTTCTATTAGAGAAAACACCATTCATGCCATCCCCATTTAGGAAAGCTCTGCCTTTACAGCAGGAGGCTTTTAAATGAAGGCAGATATCTGTCAGACCTGCCTGCACGAAACTCCTGCATCAATGTATCAGGGAATGAATGCCATGAAAATGCAGAAAAGCCACGAAGATGGAACCAATTCTACCCAGGTTAAGAAAGTGACATCAAATCCATTTAAGTTTTGCATTTTCCTCGATAACCAAGGGAAATAAAACCCACCAATCACATCTTCCTCGGGACGTGTGCAGTGTGGATTACACTGTACCAAACCTCGGCAAGGTGCCATTGCCACGTTGGTTCTGCCAATGCAATGGCTGCAACAAAAACCCGCTGCCAGTGGGCAGCAGAGACTCAAGCACCATCGTCGTGGTGGTGGTGATGGGGTGGAAGAAGTGGTACTGGGAGCCCAACCACAATGCAGCAAGGGGTCTCCAAGCCTTCAGTCTCCTACCCTAAGGATGTCACAGGGGAAGGGGGCCTGCCCCAAGGCCCCCAGGCCCCTACCTTGCTGACCACGAAGAGCTCCTCTCGCTTCACAGCCCCTTCCTTGATCTTCTTCTGGATGCCGTCCCCAACCTCGCTCTCGTTCTGGTACACGAAGGCGCAGTCCAGGTGGCGGTACCCAGCTCGATAGCAGCCATCACCGCAGCTGCCACCTTCCCTGGCGGGGACTGAAGGGGAAGGACAGCACCTGAGGAGCGCCCACCCAAACACACACGGGCCTGTGCTCCGCAAGACCAGAAACCAGCAGCCACCCACCGAAAACACCCCAATTTCCCTTACCCCCCCAACACACCCCACCCGCCCCCCCCCTAAACCACAAGACCCCAACGAGGAACACGCAGAGGGCTGCCTTTCCTCGCAGCACTCCGCAGGCCGGCAGCGGCCCGGTGTCCCCACAGCCTCCCCCTTTCCCTGCGGTCCCCCCCCACCTTCCAGGTCCCCAACCCCACAGCTGGCAGCCCGGCAGCGCCCAGCCTCATGCAGGCCGCCATGGCCCCGCTCCTGCACGGCCCTTGACGGGAGGCGCCACCCCCGCGGCGCCCGCCCCGAGAGCCCGGCCGGCAAGCGCCCGCCCCGCGCCGCCCAAGCCGTTTTTTTATTTATTATTCTTTAATA